TTCAGACGTGTTACGTATGTCGTGTGCATCATTGCAATTTGATATTTCTTTGGACGTTTTCGTTTGTTATCTTATTAAGTTGTTGAGTTTGTCGTTGTTATTGTTATACCTTGTTATTGATTGTTATTGTTATCAACTGCTTGCGCAAAATGCCCAGTAGTACAGATACTGCCGATGAAGTTGTAAACTCCTGTAGTCCACCTAGGAAACGCTCTAAAAAAAGACACCTGAGTGCAGAAATGAAAGAGGTCATTTTGAATATATATAAGATCGAGCGCGAGGAGAACGAGGCATCAACCATCAAAGAAATTGTTGTGAAGGTTTCTCTTAAAGTTGGGGTGTGTCGCGCATCAGTGTTTAATGTGTTAAGACAATACAAAAAAAATCACACCTTTTCTGAGCCAATGACCAGTAAACATCGCAAAAGTATTGTTAAATCATTGGATGAAGCTGATAAGCATGCGATTAGGAGGAAAGTGCATGAATTCTTCTTTAGGAATGAAATACCTACTATAGATAAAGTACTGCAGGAGGTAAATGGAGATACAACGTTGCCAAATTTCAAACGATCAACTTTCCATGCGTTACTGAAGCATTTACATTTCAAATGGAAAAAACGGGGTCGTAATAGTTTACTACTGGATAGAGAAGAAATTGTGCTATGGAGGAGGGATTATTTAACAAAAATTGGGAAATATAGAAATCAAAACAGGAAGCTTTATTACCTTGATGAAACGTGGGTAAACGCAGGACACACTACAAGTAAAGTATGGGTTGATGATCCTGTAACTTCATCCAGGAGGGCCTTTCTAGATGGACTGTCCACCGGATTAAAAAATCCAGCAGGTAAATACGAGTAATAGACAACAATCGGATGTTTTTCAAACCTTGGGAACAAGGTTCTAAACATTAATTCCAGGGGGCAGATAAAACATATTACAAGTAACAAAACTTTTATAACTTTCGATAAAATGCGTGGATGTTTTATTGTCATTTTCATTTGTTAGAACTTTTTTAAGCCATGTTTTTATGTGTTTTCGATATTTCAATAATTTTTTAATATAATCTTAAAATATGTCGAATATTATAAACTTAAAAAAAGTTACTAAGTTTTATATTGTGTACCGTTCCTAATATTTCTAATCATTTTAATTCATACTTTAAGCTTTATAAAGTTATAATTTGTTAATATTAATATTTGCGCGTATTTCAGGTTCCTGATCATTCATTTTTTAAAGGTTTATAACTTTAAATTAAATTGTGAAGCGCTGAGTAATCATACGACGTTCAATATTCTTTCTTTCAATATGACTAAATAATCCCAATTATAGCAATCTGATACTCATGTCTCAATGTTTTTTCGCTGAATGTGATGAAAACATTTGAAAAAGGTTCGCTTATTGAAATAAATCTACACCAGTTAGTACACTTCGATTTCCAGGTAAAGGGAAAAGGCTCATTATCTGTCATATTGGCAGTGAGGATGGATTTGTTGTTGACGGTCTGTGGTGCTTTGAGTCTAAGAAAACTGGAGATTACCACGAAGAAATGAATGGCGAATCGTTTGAACAGTGGTTTTCAAAAATTTTACCGCACTTAGAGGAAAACGCAGTAATTGTGTTGGATAATGCGCCTTATCATTCTCGAAGAATGGAGAAGGTCCCAACAACGGCTTCAAGGAAAGTTGATGTTCAAAATTGGCTCCGCTCGAAAAATATCAACTTTGAAGAAGCAATGCTGAAAGTACAATTATTAAGAATTGTCAAGGATCACAAGGCGGAATATCAAAAATACGCCATTGACGAAATGGCAGCAAGTCAAAATAAAACTGTGCTCCGTTTACCTCCATACCATTGCGAGCTCAATCCCATTGAGCTCATATGGGCAGAGGTTAAAAATTATATAGCTAAGCACAATACAACTTTTAAATTTTGTGACCTCAAAGGACTTTTCAAAGAAGCACTAGAATTAATAACAGCGTAAAAATGGGAAAACTGTATTAAGCACGTGAAAGACAAAGTTGAAAAGAGAATGTGGGAACTGGACAATATTTTAGAGGAACAAGTCGAGCCATTCATTATTGACGTTGGTGCTTCAGGCAGTAGCGATGATGAAAGCTCATCAAGCTCATCTTTCCAATAAAAGATGTCGTTCATCAAATTCGGTAAGTTATAAGTAATTATAAAGCTACTGTATTTTTTAATTAATTATTGACATTTTTGAACCCATTTTGGCAAAACCTATTCAAGAATCTACTTTCTGACAATGTTCAACCATGCACATTTTTTTACGTTTTGAACGTTTTAATTTGGTTACATATTTACCTAGAAATCAAAAAATATACTAATCAATATTCTAAAAGCAATTTTAAGAGATATACGATTATTTTTAATTTAGGCTAATTTAAACGCCATTTTGAGATTATATTCGACTGTATTTCACCAAACATCAGGCGGCATCCGAAGCTGGAAATCGAAGCGAAAATTTTGAAACCCTTATGTATATTTACATCATTATATATTTCTTACCCCACCCCCACATGATCCTATATCCATCACCAATCGTATACACATCAAATTGTGCTAATTTACTACAAAGTTACGCAAAGCAGCATCTACTATCTAAAATATGTACTGCGTGACTCTTAATACGTCCCTGCCGAATGTTTCAGCGTTCGATGATCACGTGGTCTTGTTTATGTCCGGTCTATCTCTTATCTGAATATACTGTAGCTACATCTAGGTCTAATATTACGACAACAGACTGCAGCAGAAAAATATGGAGGACTTTTGAATCGAGAACATTCGCTGGATTCAAATCTCGAACAGTCACTCGCCGTCTAAACGTAGCACGATGTTTGTCCGAAAAATACGTATAAAACATTCGGGGCGTCGTGTCTATACAATCCCCTCTATGCTCATTTCGGGCAGGAGCGCTTTACGAGTAAGTATCATTTACGTGTGCTTGTTGAAAGTAACCTTTTTTTTTACCTGTCGGCATGGAACTCTCTCTGGTCGAGGAACAGCGCAACAACATCAAGTTTCTGGCAAAGCTAGGCAAGAATGGTCGTGATATTTTTGAGTGTTTGGAACAACTTTACGCAGACAATTCTCTGAAGGAACCAACCGTCAACAAGTGGTTGAAAAGGTTTCGGGAAGGCCGAGATGTGAAAGATGACCAACACTCAGGTCGCTCTGAGGGAAATGTTGAACGAATTCGGGGCTGTGTTCTTTAAGGCCGCCGATTGACAGTTAGCATGATAGCTGAGGAATTGTCAATCCCAGTCAACGAAATTTTGCCAGAAAAATTTGAAATGGATAAATTGCGCGCGAAAATCATTCCGAAGCTCTTGACTCCGGAACAGAAAGCAAGGAGGGTTGTTTGCTGTGAGGATTGGTTGGAAGCAGAGGAAAGGGGGGACTTCCATGTGGAGCTGAAATCTCAAAGCATGGAGTGGAAGCAATCGGGGGAGCCGAGAAAAAAGTGGAAAAAATCAAGGTCCAATGTGGAAACAACCTTGATTGTTTTCTTTGATTCTTGGAGCATTGTTCACCACGAATTTGTCCTTTCCCTTGAATGGAAATTTCTACATTAAAGTTTTGCGTCTTGTGGCCCGAGTTTGAAAGGATTTGGCACAAGAGGTAGGTGGATCATTCATCACGACAACGTGCCTGCTCATACACCTCTCGTTGTGCGTGAGTTTTTAGCCTGAAGCTCATTCACCGTGACTTTTCCCTGTTCCCAAACTGCAAAATAGTAGTAGTAGAAAGATTTATTTAGCACATTTGGCTACATAAACAGAATAATTGTAAACAACTTAAAACTAGTAAATTCAAGCCATATGGTGTATGATGTAAATGCTGGGCAACCTATAATTGTAGATTTAACAAGTGGTTTCTCAATTTTACTTTAAATTTTGTCAAAGTTTTCTGGTCTTTTATCTCCGAGTATAATTTATTATATTCAATCAACCCTTGATGGAATACAGAGTTGTAGCATATATTATACTTTTTGGTCATTAAATGGAAGTCATCTTTATTTCTGGTATTATGTAAATGATGGTCGACATTTGATGATGTTAAATTAGTTAGACTTGATGGAAATATATTATTTTTTACTTTATAAATGAATATCATTACAAGATATTTGATAAAAATTTTTACATTGAGCCATCTTAATTTGCTAAGCAATTGCCTAATTGGAGTATATTTATCTTTATTTAGTATTATTCTCATGCACTTATTTTGTAAAATTTGCAGTCTTTCAAAAATGGAATTATTTGCTAAATATAGAATAGTCGAACAGTACAAGAAATTATAGATAATTTTTCTGCTATATGAACTCGGACATCCAGAAACTCTCGATAAATATCCCACTTTACTACTAATCTTATTTATAACTTTTTCATAATGAATATCAAAAATTAATCGAGAGTCAACAAAAACCCCCAGGTATTTAAAATTTTCTACGGATTCAATATCTTCACCATCAATATTCAGTTGAACATTTGTACATTGTTTTTTTCCGATTAACAAGGCTTTCGTTTTACTTGCATTTAATTTTAGTCTGTTAGATGCTAACCATTTTGAGACAAGCTTCAAGTCTTCATTTATATAAGAGATACCAGACTGAATATTTTTAGTACTTATATAAATCATAGTGTCATCGGCGAAAATTTGAATTTTGCATTTTTTGACTATGGCAGGTAAATCATTTATGTATAAAATAAAAAGAAGTGGTCCCAGGATACTGCCCTGTGGAACACCCACCGTATTTTCAATTTTTGATGAAATAGTGTCATTAACTTTTGTAACTTGCATCCATGGTGCTTCGGGGGCGGCACTTTGGGGAGTGTGTGTGAGCCATCAAGTCAGAAACGACACGGCAAACGAGGAGCCTCACAATTGAAGAGTTTCAGCGATCGTATCAACAGTGGAAACGGCGTTGGCAGAAGTGCGTCTTGTCTCAGGGTGAGACCATATTGAAAAAAGTTATTATTCCACTTTTATACGTATTTTCTGGACAAACATTGTATGCAGTTTTTTCTTGAGTAAAGACCGAGATTTTGTAGAAAAATAAATCGTAACCTTGCACCTCCTACCTAGTCCGAATTCGTCGGTTCTGACAAAATCTGGCACTTATGTGTCAACTATTCGTGTACAACTATACTCTACTCCGCTAGTTTCCTTAAATGTAAAGCATCACAAATTACTAAAATTCATTTTCACTTGAATCGCATCTATTACACAGATCTACGCGGACGGCATCAAAAATAGCATTTGGATTAAAAAAAAAAAACGAAACGAAAACATAAAATAATTTTAATGAATATAAATTATTAAAAATAAAACAGTGTAAAATTAAAATAATCCCTGACCTTACAACTAAAACATGATAGGTTTGTTTTTTGTTTGGTTTACGACGTACGCTGTAAAACGTTTGAGGAATTTTGGATATTCCCTTTTATACACTGCCCGTAACACTGACGCTGGAGCCCAACCGCCTGGATTAACTGTAATAAAAGCATTTTTAATAACCATTATAGTTTATTCGCTGAAACAAAGCAGTTACGTCATATTTAGTAAATCTGAATGCCCACCTTAATGCAAAATAGATCCCAAATTGGTACGTATAGTTTGAATTTCCCGGGTAACAACTTTCTGTGTTGTGACACTGTCGCGAAGCTAATTAAGCCAACGGCTGTTGTTTATTTGTGGTTTATTTCCGTTCTTTTTGCCTCAATATTTCTATTGTTATTTCAAAACTTTGAGGTGTCCTGTTGAGCATTTTGCTAAAATGCCGAAACCTCTGGGTCGACAAGCAAAATAATTCGTAATTTCTTTGACGAAATATTTTTAGACCGAACGAGATCATTGAGCTAATGGAGTCCGTAAGAGAGGTATTAGGCAGTTAAAACAAAGTATACTAAACGTCCTAGGATCTAGTAGTTTTAATTAATGTGGCAACCATGTGCGTCACTGTCATTATTTGACGTTGTGACGTAACTGCTTTGATTCAGTGCATAAACTATAATATACAGGGTGTTTCAGTTTATTGTTGCATAACTTTAAGTTTCGATAGAACTTTTAAAATTAATGCATAAAGTCTATATAAACATGGGTCGAAAAATGCGTGCCTTCCGAAATACAGGGTGTTTAAATTTACTTTCTAAAATAGTTTTTTTTAAATATTTCGAGCATAGTTTTACTGTAGCCGCTAGAGGGGCTCTCTACTGTACCTGTAGTGTATTAAAATGACCGAAAATTTTTTCTTAGTGCAATTTTTTGCTTTTTGAATAAAAAAACTGATTCTTCGCACTTTTCAACATAAAAAAGCTCTCTTGTGAATTTTCGTTATAGTTAGCCGTTTTTGAGATATTTCGATTTTAAAGGTTCGATGCATTTTTAATTATTTATGATAAAATAACGTTAAAAAGTCAGTATTCGATAATTTTTAGAAGTAGGCTGCGCCTGCAAATATTTTTGAAATTGAAAGCAGAATAAGGTTAAACGTCAATTAGTTGACAGTTAGTTTTGTTGTCTGTTGAAACCTGAAACGTTTTTTTGCAATTGTGAATGCACGAAATTTAGCTTCTTTTACCTGTTTTTTTTTTGTAAGTTTTATAAAAATGCCATTTTTATTCTCCAATCAAGAGTTAGCGGATATTCATTTTGTGCATGGCTTTGTAAATGGAAACGCAGCAGAAGCAGCCAGAGAATACGCACGAAGATTTCCAAACAGACGACATCCAATTCGCTCAGTATTTGTAAGAGTGCATCGCCGAATAATTGAAAATGGTTTTCGAAATCTCCAAAGGGATCAAAACATAAATGTTCGTCAGCGCAGATTTACCCGTATGATTCTGCGTGAGTTTGATAGAGATCCGACCACAAGTGTTAGGAGAGTTTCTGGTGCCTTGGGAATTTCAGCAAGCCATGTTCACCGTGTTCTTAGAAATGACCATAGACGTCCTTACCATTTGCAACCTGTGCAAGGACTACAGCCAGAGGACGGAGAACGAAGAATCACATTTTGTCAGTGGATTCTTGATAGAACTGATAATAATAGGGAGTTTTTAAGTAACGTTTTATGGACCGATGAGTCATGCTTCACTAGACGTGGAGTGGTAAATTTTCATAATCAACATATTTGGTCGCAAGAAAATCCGCATGCAGTTCGGGAAAGAAATGTTCAGCATGAATTTAGTGTGAACGTGTGGATTGGTATCTACCGTAATCGACTATTTGGACCCTACCTTTTGCCTGCAAGGTTAAATGCTGCGACCTTCTTGGAATTTTTAAAGGCTAAACATGCAAATATGGGATGATGTTATGTTAGATTTAAGAAGATTGGCCTGGTTCCAGCTTGATGGTTGTCCAGCTCATTATTCGAGAATAGTTAGAAACTGGCTGGACGAAAATTATCCAGAAAGATGGATCGGCCGTGGAGGACCAGTCGCCTGGCCTCCACGATCCCCTGACCTAAATCCATTAGATTTCTTTGTGTGAGGATTTCTAAAAGAAAAAGTGTACCAGACTCCCGTAACCACAAGAGATATGCTAATAGACAGAATCAGGAATGCATGTGATGAAATAAGGCCTTATTTCAATAATGCTATACCACGTTCGATCATTCGTAGATGTGAATTGTGTATTGAACAATTGGGTTTACATTTCGAGCAACCACTTTAGATTTTGTATGTTTGTCCTAACTATCCAATAGCATTTTAGTTGTAAATAATTAATTTAATTTGTTAAAAATAATATTGGAAAATTAAACAAATTAATATTCTGTTTTTTTGTGTTTATTTGGAGTTAGGAATTATTGCTGTGTTTAAAAACACAATCTAAACGATCATCTTAATTACTTGTAATGCCCAAATCGAAATTGTAAAAAAAAATATTATTTTCCCATAAATAATTAAAAATGCATCGAACCTTAAAAATCGAAATATCTCAAAAACGGCTAACTATAACGAAAACTCACAGGAGAGCTTTTTTATGTTGAAAAGTGCGAAGAATCAGTTTTTTTATTCAAAAAGCAAAAAATTGCACAAAGAAAAAATTTTCGGTCTTTTTAATACACTACAGGTACAGTAGAGAGCGCCCTCTAGCGGCTACAGTAAAACTATGCCCATGGTTCGTTTTGTCGTACCAAAAAACCCTTGTATACCAATTTTCACTGTTATACATCAAATATTGTTCGAAATATTTAAAAAAAACTATTTTAGAAAGTAAATTTAATTTCGGAAGCCACGCATTTTTCGACCCATGTTTATATAGACTTTATGCATTAATTTCAACAGTTCTATCGAATCTTAAAGTTATGCAACAATAAACTGAAACACCCTGTATAATAACACGATACCATAGAACATAGATGGTTCAATTCATATTCTACGATAAAAACTTTGTTGACCTATTCGCCACGAAGATACCACACTTCATGGTGTATTTAGACTTCACGAACAATTTCCATCGTTAGAGTCGATGCAAAATATTATGATCGTATCTGTCAACGTAGGCAAGGGTGAAATGAAAGTTCTTTTTTTTTAAACGCATACCGTCTATTTTTTCCATTTGCCTCTAACCTCGCAAGAAATAAATATTATTGCGAACGGTGAAACTTTGAATTTGAAAGATGATAGGAAAACCATCTATGGATTTCAAAACCTGGATAGAAGAAACAGATAATACAAATATTAAAGTCTCAATATTCAAATTCTCTGAAAATAAAAACACGCGTTTTTTTTAAATACCACATCAGTGTGAAAAGCAAAAGTAAAAGATTTTTCAGACGATTTAAGAGGCAAAGTAATTGAATTAGAAGCGGTGTCAGAAATGTTGACATTTCTCACAGATTAAAAATTACCAAAGGGACGATTTCGAAAATTATAAGAATACGGATCAACAGTAACGCGGCCCAGGTGCGGAAGATCGAAGCAAACAGCAAACAAAAATTGTCATTTGTATCCTCAAGATTGTAAGCAAACTATATGAGAAAAAAATAGTCGTTAATAATAAAGAATGAAAAATTCGCGCACTTTTTAAAAATCACTAATAATGTTTCCACACTTTTGCCCGTTACTGTATAAAGCAGCGTTTCATTTGTCGAATAACAATTGGGTTTTGATATCCATAGGCGCATTACTTTATCTCAATTCATGGATATTGATAGCAACTTACCAACAGAGCAATACGTGATTTTACAAGAAATGTTATCCCTCGTCAATGGCGCTCCATCTTTTGGTGGATCCACCCTAGTCTGGCACAATAGGCATACTTTCAAATATATCCTAACGCATTTTCCAACGTTTGGCTGGAAAAAAAATAATTCCGTTGTTAAGTATCTGATGTTGACTGACGGTATCGATTTGGAATATTTTTTCAATCACACCTATTTTAAATATGGTTTTGCTCTATTTTGATGCTTATATTTTCAGTTGTTCACTCAGTGTTGACCTCTATGCTCCACCTTGCAATAAAGCTATATTTGATTTGTATTTTTCATAACTTGTTATCATCTATTTTATTCTAATTTAGTCACGTATTATACAGGGTGGTCCATAAGTCCTTTGAAATTTCAAATTTGAATAAAATTTAACGGGTGAGCGTGAGCGGCGCGGGCGAGGTGGGGGCAGTATCTTCAGTGTCTGGGAATTCAGTCGCCATGGAGTGTTTCACTGGAGCGGATCGTGCTTTTTGTGTGCGCGCGTTTTATCAAAATAATGATTAGGCAACCATTGCGCGGCGTAAATATCGAGAATACCACAATTTACACAATTTTACAAAGTTTCCAACAGCTCAAACGATTAAGAACTGGGTTGCTAAGTTCGAAGAGACTGGTTCGACGTTAGATAAACAGCCGTGGGGTCGACCAAGGACAACTCGTATTGAAGAAAACATCAACATTGTGGCACAGTCTGTTCGTCAAAATCCTACCCAGTCTACTCGTAAGCGTTCCAGTGCACTAAACGTACCCAGAACATCTTTACAGCGGATTTTAAGGAAAGATTTACGTCTGCACGCTTACAAAATTCAGTTAGTGCAGGAATTAAAAGATAATGACGCTATTCAGAGACTAAACTTTGCGAATGAAATGTTGAATCGATTTTCTTCGCTCAATAATGTGTTGTTCTCGGACGAGGCTCACTTCCATTTAAGCGGGCATGTAAATAAACAAAATTGCCGTTATTGGAGCCCCGAAAATCCAAGGCGTAAGCATCAGAAGCCCTTACACAGCCCTAAAGTTACAGTTTGGGCTGCTATGTCAGCGCATGGCATCGTAGGCCCTTATTTTTTTGAGGACGACAGAGGTCGCGCATTAACTGTTACTTCGGAGCGGTATGTAGCAATGATAGAAGAGTTTTTGACACCAGCGTTGCAGAATTTTCCAGGCTATAATACGCAGACCTGGTTTCAACAGGACGGAGCAACTGCCCACACCTCCAACACTTCTATGCCAGTCGTCTGTCAACTTTTTCCCAGCAAAGTAATTTCTCGAAGAGGAGACATTTCCTGGCTACCACGTAGTCCAGATTTGGCCCCAATGGACTTCTTTTTATGGGGCTACCTCAAGAGTAAAGTGTACGACACCACTCCGCGATCAGTTGATGTCCTGAAAGAAAATATCCGAAGAGAAATGGCAAGCATTACAGTGTTGACTTGCCGCGCAGTCATCGACAATTTTAGACGTCGTTTATATGAGTGCCGTGATCGTAATGGATTGCATTTAGACGATGTGATTTTTAAAACATAATTCCCATTCAATAAAGATGATAACAAAATATAATAATTCTTCATAATGTAACTAGTTTGGTTTTATTCCTTTTTTCCAGCTCAAAGGACTTATGGTTCTGTTCCTGTTGACATATGGTTTCAACAGCAGTATCTACCGATTTCGTCTTTTTCCCCGGGGCTGGGGCGTAGCTTAGGGATCAACGTTCGTAAAAAGCGGATATTTCAAATTGCGAAACTTACCGGGTAATCAAGATGCGTAGTGGAATTATTTACAACCGTCCAAAGGTCAGGTCCGTCCCTATCATTCTCGTTCGGCAATTTCCGCATGTGCGACCAAAACAGCACATCGCGTTGACTAGCCGGCCATATCCGTTTGTGTGTCTGCAAGAAGACCAACGTATCGTCTGATACCGTTTCTAGCACGGTCATCTGCTCGAGAGTAGCTAGAACAAATAACACGTTTTATTCGTAAAAATCGAGCGGATGATTTTTTCTATCATCAGCGCGGAAGCAAGAAGTAGCATATAATGGGTTGTCATGCTCAGCTCCATCCGATGTTCTCCACGGGACCACGCTTATTTACGTAGTTTATTAATGACCTCTGTGAAAATTTGAAATGTATGCAATTATGTTTTGCTGTCACATTTCAAATTTGAATTACGTGGCAACCGTATACGCGATGACGTGAGGAGAGGTCTTGATCGACGCGTTCGGCGTGCGGGTTAAATAGTCACGATGGAACGTTGGACCGGAGCGCAACGTGCTTTCGCTAGCGAGGCTTACTTTTAAGAGTGGTGATTCATACGCGTGAAACAAGCTCAAAAAGTGAACTTTCTCACTGTACTATAAGGGATATTTTTTAATGTTTGTATGTTCATTGCCTATGCCACATGTATATAATATTTAAGGGTACATTTTAAAAACATTCATCATTATGCACGGGGTCCCAAATTCTAGCCACATATCAAGGTATTTTTTTAATCGAATGACCTGTATTTTCTTGCATACTCGGATAGCCTCTTTGAAAAAAATTAAAAATATTGGGTTATAATAATAATAATAATATTAATAATAATAAATGGGCTTTATTCGTCACATGATTACAAAATAATTGGCTTAAAAGGAATAGTAACGAAAAGGTGGAATGTCAGCTTATGCCCGACCTAAAAAAAACATTGACACTAACTATAAAGAGAAACAAAAATACCTACATTTAAATGGAACAGTTCACAACATTGACTACCAAAAAGAGAAAATCTTAAAATATTACACTTCTCAGAAAAAGGAAACAATCAATTACCTGTGGATATGCGTAAAGTTAAATTCTAGCCATCCGATTGCTTTAAACTCATCTTTAACCTTTTTTTAGAATTGCTTAGGCTATATTCTTTATACTCACTTGACAAGCAGTTATAAGTATATAACATACAAGAAAGCTCTACTTTTTCAGCCACTTTCAGAGGTACGGCTGAAACGCGTTTTGTCTTAAAATATTTTCTTTGACCTTTTATTTAAAGTAAATTTATTTTTTGGAAATGCAATGAGGAGCTTAAAGAAACTGTTAATCCAAGTGTTGAACTGCCTAAGGTTAGTATAACTAGGAAAAGCTTCCTCTTGTAGATTGTTCCACAATCTCGGCACCTTAGAGACAAAGGAGCGGTCGTATCGGCCAGTTCTGGATGTAGTAGTAGTAGTAGAAAGATTTATTTAGCACATTTGGCTACATAAACAGAATAATTGTAAAAAATGTAAATGCTGGGCAACCTATAACACTGGACAACAAACTTTAGTTTTTTAATTGTATCTTGTGGGAAAAGTGCACTTCTTTGTTAATTTTGGGGCGCTGAATACAAAAATGACAATGAAATAAAAAAAATAGTTGCGGTTTAGAAAAAAAAACTTTTTATTTTTAAGGATATATTAAAAAAGTAACAAGATTCATATACTTATAAGAATCACTATATGCGCTGTCTTTTTGCTGTTCTTTTATGGATCGTTTCTGCAGCATCTCTACCAAGAGTCCAACAGTAGTCTGCAAGCATGGAAGGATTCCATTTTCCCTGGTACCTTTTTTTCATTGTTGAAATATCCTGATGAAAACGTTCGCCGTGCTCATCACTTACGGCTCCGCAATTGTCAGGAAAAAAGTCCAGGTGTGAGTGTAGAAAATGTATCTTAAGAGACATATTACAGCCCATCTTTTGATACGATGACAGCATATTTTTTATAATTGTCAGCTTTTCTATTTCCCAAGAAATTAGTGACCACCAGACGGAAATCATTCCAAGCAGTTTTTTCAATACCTGTTAAAGTGTTTTCAAACTGTGTATCTTTCAAAATATTTCGAATCTATGGTACAACAAAAATACCTTCTTTAACCTTTGCCTCACTTAGTCGTGGAAATTTCTGACGCAGGTATTGAAAAGCTGACCCATCTCTATCTAATGCCTTGACAAAGTTTTTCATTAAGCCCAACTTGATATGCAGTGGTGGTAATAATTTTTTTTTCGAATCTACTAATGGCATATGCTGTACATTTTTTTGACCTGGCTCTAGGAATTGACGAACAGGCCAGTTTTGTCTGGTGTAATGAAGCGCCTTTGCCCGACTGTCCCATTCACACAAAAAACAGCAAAACTTTGTGTAGCCTAGCTGCACCCCAAGTAAAAGTGCAACAACTTTCAAATCGCAACAAATATGCCATTGGTGCTCATCGTATTTTATGCATGTCAATAGGTACTTCGTATTGTCATATGATTCTTTCATGTGAACTGCATACCCCACAGGAAGAGATGGTAAAATATTTCCAATATGCAATAACACTGCCTTTAAACTCAATGTTGAACTGTCTATAAACAATCTCCATTCTTCTGGGTTATAGTTTATATTTAAAGCCGCCAGTAAGCCGTTAATGTTACTGCAGAAAACCAAGTTATTCTCCATATTGAAAAATGGTTCTAAGTCTTTGTGGCGTTTACGAAAACCACATACCGAAACATCGTCTTCTAACAAGTTCTACTGCTGAAGTCTTGATCCAAGTAACTCTGCCTTACATTTTGGAAGCTCTAAATCTCTTACAAGATCATTTAATTCTGACTGTGTTATTTTGTGCGGTTGGTGGCATGACGTGCTCGGTATAAAATCAGGATCTCTTGACGTTGATGGCATATCTTCTTCCTGACGAATCACTCGATCGCCATGATCTGATTCGTTTTCTGATTCGCAAGTGTAGGATTCTGGGGGTTTTGGAATAGGATTTTCGTCACTGTGAGGCACAGGTCTCATCGCATATGGTATGTTTGGGTAGTTAATAACCGATTTTTTTTTCTTGGACATACCTGTGGCTTGTCCAACACAAGGTACCATGCAAAAGTAACAATCATTAATATGATTTGTAGGCTCTCTCCAAACCATTGGGACAGCAAAGCGCATAGACCGTTTTTTGCCATTTAACCAGCTCCTCAGACTTGAAGCACATGTATTACAGCAGATGTGGGGTGCCCACTGTTTGTCTTGATCACCTAGTTTACAACCGAAATAAAGCTGATATGCCTTTGTTATTAGTGGAGTAATAGACCGTCTCTGAGACGCAAAAGTCACATCACCACACACGTAACAAAACTGATCTGGATTGTTTACACACTTTCGAGACATCTTGCATGAAGGCTGTCAACCAATTGAGGAAAAAATGGCTAATATAAAACAATATAATGTACACGTATGTATAACGTAACACAATCATGCCGATTACATCATCTTTCCTTGCCGAATATAAAAATGTAGCACGTGCATTCTTGTGAATTACAGTATATTAACACTGTCACAGCAAGAACACATATAATTACCGTATCTCTAAAACTTGAACTAATATTGAAAAAATAAGTTTCATTCCGGTTTTAGCACATTAAAAATAGTAATATTTTGTTGATTTTATTTAGGATATTTTTTGGCTGTTGATCAGTGTTATTGATCCCTTAATCCACCTTCTGCACTAAGTTCTAGTTAAACGAGGTAAACTTACTTTCCCAGTCATACCTATACTGCGGTCCGAAGAAGTAATGGCACACCTCGTGACCGGTGATTCCCGGTACGGTGTGCACCGCCTTCAATGGATCCACCGCCATTCCGTCCACTTCTTCTTCCCTTCGGTACATGCGCATTTCTCCGTCCTCCGCAAACAATTGCCACCCTTGTCCGCATTCGCCGATCCCGGTACGCGCCCACGCTACTTGCTGTTTCACTACCGATTCTATCTGTAACAACAAAAAATAATAAGTAAATTAATAAGTAACGGGGTGACAGAATAATAAATAAATAAATAGCGTTTATTGCCTAATAGTTAAGGAAACCATTTACAGGACAATCCTACGGTAAATCAAACTAACAAAAATAGAAAACATACAAAAAGCAGGTGATTTCATATAAAGAAAAAAAACAAACAAGATAAAGAAACAAACAAAAAATATTTCACACAAGTGAGAAACATAAATTATTTAAATAATTTCTAGATACTCCCAGAATGCTGTTCAAACTGTCAGCAAGTATATCCTAATAATGTGATATGACATTGAAAGTTTCACACATTACATACAGTAATGGACACAAGTATATAGACAAATTAATATTGTGCTGTATTTCTTTTTTAACTTGTTTTATTAATACACTAACCTGTATACATGATTCGTTATATCATAATACTAACTTATACATAAATAAATTCATTAGATTCCCTTCAATAAAAAATTAATTGAAAAAAAACTGGAACTATGAAGGACAAAAATATATAGACAAAACAAAACAATTATAGAAAAAAGAAGCAAAGTTCATTGAATTATAGAAAACCAACCATGTTTGTGTTAATATTTTGTAGCATAACCATTATTATCAATCACCGCCTGGCATCGTCTCGGCATAGATTGTACAAGTTTCTTGATATAAGATTCATCAATCTGTCTCCTCTTTTGCTCTAAAGCGGCAAAAAGTTCATCCTTGTTTGAAAAATTTTTATCTCGTATTTGCTTATCTAAGTATTCCCATAGATTTTCAATAGGGTTTATATCGGGAGACTGAGTAGGCCATTTGACAAGAATTTTTTTGCGAGATTTGAAGTGTGCTTGCTGGAAGATTGTTCTTAAGGGCATATTGTCTTCCATAAAGGATAACATGACATGCTTTAGTATGTCTGTGTATACAAACTTATCCATAATGCCATCTATTCTATGTAAAGGTCCCATCCCAAACGCCGAAAAGCACCCCCAAACCATATCAGACACGCTTCCATGTTTGACAGTGGGCAAAGTGTACTTGGGGTTCAATCTTTGTCCACTAGGACGTCTAACGTAATGAACACCATCTGATCCAAACATATTGAACATGGATTCGTCACTGAAACATACCCTCTTCCAGTCATAGATGCTCCAATCAAGATGCAACCATGCAAATTGTAATCGGTCCTTGCGGTTTTTCCTCCAGATTATTTAATCTTCTACTTATAGTTTTCGTAGAATCACTGACAATTCCTTTTGTTTCGATTTCGGATTTTATTTGTCTTCTCTTAGAGGCTTCCAAGATACCTTTTTGTTTATATTTGTTCAATATTGCCCAAACTGCTTTACGCTTCAGCTTCAAATTTTTGGCAATGTCGACTTGACATTGACCATCTTTGTATAACTCAATGATATTAGTTTTCACATCAAAAGAAATTTCTGGACCATTCGGCATAATCTTACAATCACTCAATTTATTCCACAATACTTGACGAACACAAAATAATCCTCTCCTGACACAAAACTGTACTAAACTAATGTTGAAAAGAATTTGTCTACATATTTTTGTCCCTCATAAAAAAGTATTTATAATCAGACTTGTATTGTGTTCATTGCAGATAATGTAAAAACAAGGAATTCAGTTTTTCTACTAATAACGCATTTGTTTATGGAGCAATGAAGTATGAATTCGTTTTCTAAAGGTATTTAGGTAAATATTCATATTTGTCTATATACTTTTGTCCATTACTGTATATGGGTGCTTTCAAAAATAAATTTGTGCGAGCCCTGTCACAACAAAAGGTTTTAGCGATACGAGTTTGAATAGATGAGACATTAAAGTTTAATTGACGCACACTTCCTTCTCAGCTCTAAAGACTGTATTTGAAACCTAGACAAACTTTCAGATATACCATGCTCAGGATACGCACCGTCAACTTTGAAAAATAAAAATTGAAGAAACTTTCACTGAACATGCTCACGAGAATCAATGTAGCAGTTGTAAATTGGGTTACAAATTAACGATTCATATTCCAATTTCGATCGATATGCAGAATACAAAACCAACAGTGACTCAAACAAAAAATATGCATTTTGTTATTAGCATTACTTACTTACCTTTTGGCGATATTTTGTAATATTTTCAGAAAGGGTGATTTTATCCCGAGGAATAAAAAATAATTCCAGAAAAGTTAGTTAAAAAAATAAGCAAAAAATAGCATACCAAAAAAAAAAATACAATTCATAAGAATGACAACATTGATTGCACGAGACAAATGCAGATAGTATTGCGAGAGTTTTAAATTTGAAAACAAAAATAGTAGAAAATAGTCAAACAAAAAAAAAATAAAAAAAAAAATCACATGAGCACAAGAAAAACTGAACTAAATGGACTCCAGCAGCTGACTTTTCATCAATTTCTTAAAAGAAACAACCTGTTTGGATCGATAGCCACTGTTGACTGCATTGTAATGCTTGACAGCATTATAGGTGTAACTTCTTTCAAAGACCGAGGTATTGTGAGGAGGTATGTTAAAATTAGCATTAAATCTAAGAGCTCTGGTAACAACACTACCTCGGTGAACTAATTTGCTAGCGAGGTAAGCTGGTCTGTTAGATAATAGAACTTTATGCGTGAAGACGGTCAAAAGATATAAAAATAACTTATCAATTCGCAACCAGTTGAGTTCTTTGATTTTATCTGAGACGCGACTAAACTTGCGCAATCCAAAAATAAACCTACAACAGCTGTTCTGAATTTTCTGGAGTTTCCAATTGTGGACGTAGTCTAAACATGGGTAATACAGAACAAGAGAGTAAGAAATGTCAGACAACACAAGACTTTCAGCAAGCTTTTTTCGGGTTTTAAAATTCAAGATGTATCGATTAGAATAGAGGAGTTTCAAACGCAAATACGTTACTCTAGATAAGAAAGGGACATGTCGATCGAATCTCATATTTAAGTCAAGGGTAACATCGAGATTCTTAGCGTAATCCACAAAAGGGATGAGTGTCTCATCCAAAAAAACACAAATCCTCTGCTTCATTTCACGGTAGGAGTTCTTCGAACAGTACAACATTGCAGTAGTTTTATTAGGATTGATCTTCAAGCAGTGTTTGTTACAGTAATCACCGATGTTAGCCAAATCTAAATTAACTTTAAAAGAAACTTCATCAACCTTTGATGGATCGAAACCAAACACTAACTGAGTATCATCTACATAAGTTTGCATACTACAGTAGACTAAACAGTCTTGCAGATCGATCGTATAAATCAGATGTAGTAAGGGACCTAATACTGAGCCCTGAGGAACTCCTGAAGGAACTGGCTCAGAGGAGGAAATTCCCTGATCAGTTTTCACTGTTTGTTGACGATTTAGCAAGTATGACTCAAAGAAGCTTAGAACTATATCTGACATTCCATAATGAGATAACTGACTCAGTAGTATCTGGTCAAAGGCTTTCGAGAAATCTAACAGTACCAAGACGGTGTTGATGTGATTATCTAAATTGTGAATAATGGAATCAGTAAGATGTAATAAAGACGAAGTAGTGCTGTAACCAGCTCTGAAACCTGACTGATGTAGAGGAAATAAGTGATTTTGTTCGAAAAACTCCACTAGTTGTGAGTAGACAGCTCTTTCGAGTATTTTTGATAGAAAGCATAATAAGGCCTGAGATCCGAATATTGTTCTGTTGTTCTGTCTATGATTAGTTTTAGCTATCGTAATAATAATACCATTTTTCCAACTGGCAGGAAAGTAACCTGTTTCGAGACAGACATTAATAATGTGAGTTATATGGTCTATGGTATCAGGCAAACATAAGCAAACCATATTTAAAGTTAGACCATCAGAGCCACATGCCGTAGACTTAATGTGAGAGATTATATTGACGATGTCTTGCTGAGTAAGGAGTTTAAAAGCAAACAGAGGTGCATCCGGTGTATGGCGTCTATCGCTATAAGAGTTAGAGACACTATCAATCAAATTTGGATCAGCTGCAGCTGTCTGGAAAATTGAAAGAAAATAATTATTTAAAATGTTAGGCTCAAGGAGACTGGGAGGTATCGCAACATGTTTCTGGGCTACCACATTCATCCTCCTCAGGTGTTTCCAAGCTTGACTAGAGTTAAGATTCCGGAAACGTGACATATATGCTTTATTCTCTCTTCTAAGCGATGCAAGGGCATAATTTCTCAAATCTTTGTAGCTGGCCCAATTCTGATCAGATCTGCTATGCTGATAGACAGCGAATGCCTCATCTCTGAGTTGAAAAATCATTTTCAAGTTAGGAGTGAGCCAGGGCGCAGCAGGTTTTGTGACACGTATTGTACGTAGCGGAGCGTAGAGATCGAATAGATAAAGAAGACGGTCAGTAAAAATAGAGACTTTAATATCCACATCATTCACGAAATAAATGTCATTAAGCTGCATTGATGCAATCTGCGTCTTAAAACTTTGAATATCAATGCTATTAAGATTTCTATATGTTACAAATTTAGGCTCTATTTTTTTATAACGAACGGAAATATCACAGTATGTGAGCCGATGATCACTAATTGAGTCTGCATTGAGTGTCCCTGACCTTTTGACGATAGTATTGTCACTAACAAATATTGGATCAAGTAATGTGGAACTGAAGGCTGTAACACGTGTAGGCTCATCAATGACTTGAATGAAATTGAATGAATCAAAGCAGCTGCTGAGGATGGTGTTATGAGCAAGCAAGTCGACATTCATATCGCCCAAGAATATAATGTTGTCATATTGGGGAGTGAAAAATGAGATAAGATTTTCTAAACACTGGATGGCTTGATGTATAGAGCAATGTCGTGGCCTATATATAACAACAATTAACATACTGGACCCGTGCAGTTTAAATTTATAGCATAACATTTCAAGAGGATTTATCAAGTCATCGAGCTCAACTGGGATAAGATTAGTGCTAATATCTAATTTAACATAGAGACCGATGCCATCCCCTCTGCTCCCACGGTCCTTACGGAAGAAATTATACCATTATAAAAATTTCACATTATCCTCGACTCGGATCATTGAAAATTACTGACCCTATCACAAGTGTTGTTTTAGATACTACTAATTTAAAATCTTATTTACGTCTAATATTGGAACTTCAAAATAAAAATGACAACGAAAATATTCATATTTTCAGCTCTGATGCTATCGATGTATTCTGATATGTTTAGGACAGCTACAGTGTTACACTATCTACATCCTAAGCAAGATTTACGCTAAGAAAGTTAGAATAACAATGTTAAATACTAAATCTAATTACCTCAGGCCACAATCTGTGCTGGCAAGCCGGCGACGTGGCAGGCGGCGTAACAGGCACCTGCCCGCTTTTCAGTCTATCTCTCAACTCCTGCTCTTCTTCGATCTTATCCAGTCCGGATTCAACTGCATCGTAGAACTCATCATCGGCAAGTACACTGTGAGGTCCTTCCTGCAATAAAAATGGAAAATGTACGATGCAAGATCCGAATGGCTGTTATGTAAAAAACCTAAAAAAAAAAAAAAAACGTAAAAAAACGACAAAATGTCATTTTGCAGACTAGGTAGGTTTTAGTGTGCAAATATAGTTCATTCCACGTGTGCTCGCTGTGAAAAGCGTCCAGCTATGGGGGGAATAACTCAACGACACGACACGCTCAAGCATGCATTGTTGGTTACATAAAGCCAAGTAGTGTTTGTGTGGAAGAAAGACTGTTGAGCATCAGGATCGCATCTAGATGATTATGTGTATATGTGTAATTCACAGCTTTAGCACCGCATCATTGCTTGTTCGTGAATTTTTGGCCAGAAGAAATACTGTCACGATGCCCCTTTGACAGAAGGCCGAAGGATGTCAATGTCAGTGTTGAAAGATGGAACGAATTGTGGGCGTGTGCCAAACGTTGCCAAATCACTTCAGATGATGAGATTTTCAAAATTTTATGTAAGAATTTGTTAAACCGACCAGAGGCAGTTGAATAAACTATATTTTTATTAATGGGAATTTAAATTAACAATTATTAATAAATCGTGAGGAGAGAATTATTATATTTTGAGTGGAATGAAATTTAATGGTGGAATCGGCCAAAACACAGATTCTAATTATGGTTGTGAAGAGTTGAAATTTGGGGAGATATGTAAGTTCTCCAATTTTTCGCAGTTTAGCAAATATGAGTAAATGACACTCTGTTGTTTAACATGTCTTTTTGTTGATACAGTTGTTATTCATGAAGATGTGGGACATTTCCAGGAATAAACGTTTGGAAAGGTGTTTTTCTTTATCAAGAACTTTGATACTTGTGTAATTCATAGAATGCCCTGTTGTGTTAACATGAGATACTAGAGCGCATCTTTCAGGATGAAGCCTAGCATCACTTTTGTGTGATGTAATCCTTCCTTTAAGAGATCTGGAGGTCTGACCTATGTATATTTGGTTGCAGTTGTTGCAATTGATGGAGTAGACTGTGTTGGTTAAGCCAAGCAGCGGGACTTTGTCTTTCTTTTTGAAAAAAAAAGTATAAAGAGTCCTCTTTGCTTAAATTTTGTCGAAGTACCCAACAAAAGGCGGAAGCTTTAATTTTTCACCTATATATATATATATATATATATATATATATATATATATATATATAATGTGCCGTAATTATAATTCAGTTAATAGCGTTTTAGATATATTTTCATTTTGTGCGACTTTGGGAGAAATTAATGCTTATTTTCGTTAATGCTTGCTGGTGTGATTGTTGAGTGCTGGGTAGGTAAAGCTAGAACGCTTTTTTTACTTTCCTCCCAGTTCTGTTTTGAGGTTTTTTTTGCGGCGTTTTAGCTTTCTCTACATATATCCACAACATGCATTTGTTTATATTTTCATGTTTATCCATCCTGTAATTGGCTATGGCTGTTGGATGTTTCTCGTTGAATACCCCACCTGTTGACAGAGAGCAAAGAACTGTTACTGCGGAGTGGTATACCACCATTTGTTTGCCAAGAGTCATCACCGAGCTTCGAAAAATCAACCCCGAAAGAAGAATCATCCTCCACCAAGACAATGCAAGCTCGCACACAGCCCAAAAAACAAGACAGTATTTAACGGAAGACAACGTGGAATTATTGGACCATCCTCCATATAGTCGCGATCTAAGTCCTAGCGATTCCTTTACTTTCCCGAAAATTAAAAACATACTGCGTGGTCAAAGGTTCCAGTAACCAGAAGAAGCAGTTGACGCATTCAAAAATGCCTTTTTGGATCTGCCAGCAAACGAGAGGAATAAGTGCTTCGAAAATTGGTTCGAGCGCATGCAGATGTGTATTAATCTTCGTGCGGAATACTCCGAAAAACAATAAAGTCATTTAAAACAACCTACCGTGTTGTTTTATTTCCTTATGCAAAACTTAAAAGACATCCCTCGTATCTAAGGCATACGCCATTAAAAGATCCATAATGACCTTGAAAATTGTACGTATTGAATTTGATTTGCGCCACCTAATTTACTTGACAATAATTTAAAAGAGGATTGCACATAGCGCTTGAAGGCCAAATCTATTGTCTCAATAATAGCCAAGTGTATTTTCTTTTGGTCCTGGCGAACACGCCGATCAATAACAAACCATTCAATGTGTGGCTTTATGCAGGATAAAGCCACCTTGGATTATGACAGAAAAAAACATTATACAAAATAAAAGTTTTTAGACGCTTTCATTGAAAATTAACGGTAATTTTGATCTTCCGAAAATTGCCCACTACAGTATATTCAGATAAGAGATAGACCGGATGTAAACAAAAGGTTCGGGTGATTTTCACGCTAACGCCGCCGTCTCGACGTAAAACAGGAGCCCTCATTGGTCAATTTGCAATTAAATGTCTATGCCGAGCGGCAGAGCAGTCGTATCAAGGCAGAGTCACATTCAGGTTCAGACGTGTTACGTATGTCGTGTGCATCATTGCAATTTGATATTTCTTTGGACGTTTTCGTTTGTTATCTTATTAAGTTGTAGAGTTTGTCGTTGTTATTGTTATACCTTGTTATTGATTGTTATTGTTATCAACTGCTTGCACAAAATGCCCAGTAGTACAGATACTGCCGATGAAGTTGTAAACTCCTGTAGTCCACCTAGGAAACGCTCTAAAAAAGACACCTGAGTGCAGAAATGAAAGAGGTCATTTTGAATATACGTATATATAAGATCGAGCGCGAGGAGAACGAGGCATCAACCATCAAAGAAATTGTTGTGAAGGTTTCTCACAAAGTTGGGGTGTGTCGCGCATCAGTGTTTAATGTGTTAAGACAATACAAAAAAAATCACACCTTTTCTGAGCCAATGACCAGTAAACATCGCAAAAGTATTGTTAAATCATTGGATGAAGCTGATAAGCATGCGATTAGGAGGAAAGTGCATGAATTCTTCTTTAGGAATGAAATACCTACTATAGATAAAGTACTGCAGGAGGTAAATGGAGATACAACGTTGCCAAATTTCAAACGATCAACTTTCCATGCGTTACTGAAGCATTTAAATTTCAAATGGAAAAAACGGGGTCGTAATAGTTTACTACTGTATAGAGAAGAAATTGTGCTATGGAGAAGGGATTATTTAAAAAAAATTGGGAAATATAGAAATCAAAACAAGAAGATTTATTACCTTGATGAAACGTGGGTAAACGCAGGACACACTACAAGTAAAGTATGGGTTGATGATTCTGTAACTTCATCCAGGAGGGCCTTTCTAGATGGACCGTCCACCGGATTAAAAAATGCAGCAGGTAAATACGAGTAATAGACAACAATCGGATGTTTTTCAAACCTTGGGAACAAGGTTCTAAACATTAATTCCAGGGGGCAGATAAAACATATTACAAGTAACAAAACTTTTATAACTTTCGATAAAATGCGTGGATGTTTTATTGTCATTTTCATTTGTTAGAACTTTTTTAAGCCATGTTTTTATGTGTTTTCGATATTTCAATAATTTTTTAATATAATCTTAAAATATGTCGAATATTATAAACTTAAAAAAAGTTACTAAGTTTTATATTGTGTACCGTTCCTAATATTTCTAATCATTTTAATTCATACTTTAAGCTTTATAAAGTTATAATTTGTTAATATTAATATTTGCGCGTATTTCAGGTTCCTGGTCATTCATTTTTTAAAGGTTTATAACTTTAAATTAAATTGTATAGCGCTGAGTAATCATACGACGTTCAATATTCTTTCTTTCAATATGACTAAATAATCCCAATTATAGCAATCTGATACTCATGTCTCAATGTTTTTTCGCTGAATGTGATGAAAACATTTGAAAAAGGTTCGCTTATTGAAATAAATCTACACCAGTTAGTACTTCGATTTCCAGGTAAAGGGAAAAGGCTCATTATCTGCCATATTGGCAGTGAGGATGGATTTGTTGTTGACGGTCTGTGGTGCTTTGAGTCTAAGAAAACTGGAGATTATCACGAGGAAATGAATGGCGAATCGTTTGAACAGTGGTTTTCAAAAATTTTATCGAACTTAGAGGAAAACGCAGTAATTGTGTTGGATAATGCGCCTTATCATTCTCGAAGAATGGAGAAGGTCCCAACAACGGCTTCAAGGAAAGTTGATGTTCAAAATTGGCTCCGCTCGAAAAATATCAACTTTGAAGAAGCAATGCTGAAAGTACAATTATTAAGAATTGTCAAGGATCACAAGGCGGAATATCAAAAATACGCAATTGACGAAGTGGCAGCAAGTCAAAATAAAACTGTGCTCCGTTTACCTCCATACCATTGCGAGCTCAATCCCATTGAGCTCATATGGGCAGAGGTTAAAAATTATATAGCTAAGCACAATACAACTTTTAAATTTTGTGACCTCGAAGGACTTTTCAAAGAAGCACTAGAATTAATAACAGCGCAAAAATGGGAAAACTGTATTAAGCACGTGAAAGACAAAGTTGAAAAGAGAATGTGGGAACTGGACAATATTTTAGAGGAACAAGTCGAGCCATTCATTATTGACGTTGGTGCTTCAGGCAGTAGCGATGATGAAAGCTCATCAAGCTCATCTTTCCAATAAAAGATGTCGTTCATCAAATTCGGTAAATTATAAGTAATTATAAAGCTACTGTATTTTTTAATTAATTATTGACATTTTTGAACCCATTTTGGCAAAACCTATTCAAGAATCTACTTTCTGACAATGTTCAACCATGCACATTTTTTTACGTTTTGAACGTTTTAATTTGGTTACATATTTACCTAGAAATCAAAAAATATACTAATCAATATTCTGCAAGCAATTTTAAGAGATATACGATTATTTTTAATTTAGGCTAATTTAAACGCCATTTTGAGATTATATTCGACTGTATTTCACCAAACATCAGGCGGCATCCGAAGCTGGAAACCGAAGCGAAAATTTTGAAACCCTTATGTATATTTACATCATTATATATTTCTTACCCCACCCCCACATG